ATATACAATAATCAATAACGGACAACCAAACAAAAGCTTTAAATTGAAAATGTATTTGTAATGAGAAATTTAATGAATAAGTCGACACTAAAAATAAAACTTAAGCATCTTAGTTTATACTTTAACTGTGCAGAATGTAGTTTTACTGACTTATTAAAATAATGCATAGAAGTCTTAAAGAACATGTTATGAAGGCAGCACGTGTTGCTCTAAACCTGTGTATTTTCTGCATTAATATTGTCCTCAGTAAAATGTAAATAAGCTTTTTAAATCCTCAGAACCAACCAGTACTATCCCAAAGCCTAGTTTTTAGATTTGTTTGTGTTAAACGTGTGAATGCTCCTTTAGATACTTTTAAAATAAGAGAAAACACTTCAGCAATTTAGAGATTTAGCTGCTTGTTGCTTTAAGACCAGAAGCCTCATTCTCATCTCAAGAGGGCAGCACTTCACAGGCAGGTCCGTCTCCATGTATGAAATACTTACGTGGACTGAGCCTGATTAATTATGGATAAACTAAGGAAGCAATGTTTGCAATCTGAGCTGTGTCTCATTTATAGTGGAGGCTGGGCGTTGCCAGTGGCAACAGTTGTTTCACCTGGGAGCCGGTCCGCAGACAAAGACACTTGTGTGGGAAAGGTTCTGGAGGAGCAAGTATCAGGTGGTCCTGGGTGTGAAGTCAGAATTAATCTGTAAAGAATAAGAAAGGACACTGTGTTGTTGCTGGAAGGGAAAATCATGAGCCAATCAGAAATGCTGGTGTTTGTATGTGGGACAAGGTAAAAGCTGCAGCAGAAAGTAAACACAAGTTGAATGTGAGTTCACTGACACAACTTGACTCAATGTCAGATTTCAAGCACCGAAAGCACTTATAATTATAATATAAGAATATGGGTGGGGTGTCACACAGAAAACATGTTTTCCATTTCCATTCACTGCAGCATAGCTCTCTGTGACGAACTAAATATGTTCAGGTGTTAAAAACTGACATCAGATTCAGGAAACAGCTTTTAAAAACTGTTTTAGACTGGTGGAGTCTTAAGCAACTATTTAAAAAATACCCAACAGTTTATTAAAAAGATATATTCAAAAAATAATTTGTTGAATTTACTTAACCACATTATGTTAGGTGGGCCCACTCAATCGAGTTGAGTAAATGTAACAAGATTTACACAAGTAACGTACAGTAAGTAAATATTGTTACATTTGCTCAACTCAATTGAATGGAAACACTTAATATAACTTATAACCAGTGTTGGGGTAGTTACCCAAAATAAATAATTAGTTACACATTACTAGTTACTTTTTTAAAAAGTAACATATTACACTACTTAGTTACTCAGTTCTGAAAGTAACTTAGTTACATTACCTTTAGATTACTCTAATACCTGATATTTAACCTGTATTA